GAAACGTCAGCCTCTCTGCTCCTATGATGCTGCTTGGCCTGCTGTGTTCATCCAGCCCTGCACCTTGTTGTCTCGGATTCTCCAGCATCTGCAGTTCCTACTATCTCTGACTCACTTTATAGACAACTATTTTTATATCAGAACTGACATTATGAATTTAATAGCAATGAGTAGGAATTGGATATCACTGGATGTGATAGAACTGCAGCGCTTGAACCTGATTGTTTAATCATTGGGCTTGTGTTACTAGTTTTCTTTAGTTACAGCAAACATAAAAGGCAATATACACAATGAATATGACTCTTGTAAATCAGTTAACTAATTTCTTTTATTTCATTTGTGAAAAGATATGGAAAATTACGATTAAACTGGTTTCTATGAAATATCAATATTATACATCATTGGATTATACTTCATTTGTTATTCAGCAATATCTACTAAACAACATAAGAAAAGAATTCTCACAAAGTACCCAAGTCCTTCAGTTCTCCACAGGCCAAACAAAATCACAGACATCTGTTTAAATTCACTGAGTGGCCAGTTTAAAGCATTGTGATAAAGCCAAAGTATGATTACCATTCCTTGCACTCAACATTTGCTACAACTCGTTTGGAGAAAAACAATTATTCTGTGTCATGTCTTTATGAGATATTCTTTCACCTGTGGAACCAGCGGCAGATACCTTTGCTTCAGCATTGTTTACATCTTGTCCAAACTTAGGCAAATTTATATTAAAGTTCCTTTGTTGTTTGGATGGGTCAGATGAAGGTCTACTTTCTTGAAAAGACCTAATAGAGTTGTTGCTAAATGAAGTACTAGTATTGCACAGTTTAATAGGATGATCACTGCCATGCAACCCACATGCATGGAAACAATTCTGTCTGGGATCATTATGGGAGGATTTCAAAACTGAATTGTTGTCAATTTGCAAATAAGGTGCTGCAGCTTTCTTCCTGCGGGGAGGTGCAATTGGGGCTGTGGCTGCACTTTCTGAGACTCTCTCTGGGTTGTTACAAAGTTGCTGAGAAGTTCTATTGGTTGCACACTGCTCCTCTTGTTGCTGTGTCTTTATCAGTGGTGACTGTGAGATTATTTGTTTGACTGTATCAGAATTTCTTTGAGAAGTCACTAATGGTGAATTCACATATGCTGCTGCAGCTGTTTTGAGAGACTTTGGTTCCTTTTTATTTGCAGCCTCTGAACTGAGGAACTGTTGATACAAAAATATGTCTGTTATAAATTGAGTACACGTATATCAGTTAAAATTATAATGGGTGAAAATGTTACGACTATCACACTTTTTTGTATATTCCATAGATCATAAAGTCCGAGCTTCACTTACCACTTCACTAAATGGCTCTGCTGTGTGCAGATTGTATGTCTATTCTCATTTTATTCTGTATCATTAGAAATGGTGTAATGTCATTAACAGTATAAGTAATTAATTCTATTTGATAACTTACAATTAGGTTAACCAACCATCCTTTGGTTAGTGCTCTTTTTGTCCCGATTTTGTTACATGGCTACTTCATCTGGAGGCAGGGGTTATAAGGTAAATGGAAACCATGAACTAAGTAAAAATTTTGTGGTGGGCTTTATAAAAGAGTCATACAGCCATACGGCATGGACACAGGCTCTTCAGCCCAATTCATCCATGCCAACCAGGTTTCCCATTGTAAACTAGTTTCATTTGCCTGTGTTTGGCCCATAACACTCTAATCCTTTCCCATCTATGTAACCCCATCCAGAAGTCTTTTAAACGTTGTGATTGTACCCACCTCTACCACCTCCTCTGGCATCTCGTTACATATATGCACCACCCTCTGTGTGGAAATGTTGCCCCTCCGGTCCCTTTTAAATATTTTCCCCCTCATCTTAAACCTATGCTGTCTTGTTTTGGACTCCCTTACCCTAGGAAAAGACTTTGGCTATTCACCTTATCTATGCCACTCGTGATTTTATAAACCTCTATAAGGTCACCCCTCTCAACCTCTTAGGCCTCAGGGAAAAAAGTCCCATCCTATCCAGCCCATCATTATAACTCAAATCATCCAGTCTCAGTAACATCCTTGAAAATCTTTTTTGTACCCTAGACAACAAGGTGCAGAGCTGGATGAACACAGCTGTCCAGTTCAATAACATGCTTCCTAAAGCAGGGCGACCAGAATTGCACGCAGTACTCCAAATGCTGCCATACCAATGTCTTGTACAGCCGTAACATGATGTCCCAACTCCTATACTGAATGCTCTGACCAAAGCCAAGCATGCCAAACGCCTTCTTCACCACCCTGTATACCTGTGACACCACTTTCAAGGAACACTGCACCTGCACCCCTAGGTCTCTCTGTTCGAGAACACTCCCCAGGACCCTTCCATCACTGTGTAAGTCCTGCCTTGTTAAGCCTTACCAAAATACAGCACTTCACATTTATCGGAATTAAACTCCACCTGCCATTTCTTGATCCATGGCGCTGCGATCAAGATCCTGTTGTACTCAGATAACCTTCTACACTGTCCACCAAACCACCAATCTTGGTGCCATCCTCAAACTTACTAACCATGCCTATTATATTCTCATCCAAATTGTCTATATAAGTGATGAACAATAGTGGATCCTTGCAGCACACCACTGGTCACAGGCCTCCAGTCTGAACAACAACCTTCTACCCTCAGACTCTGTCTCCTACCGGTAATACCATAACAATACATAATACAATGAGGGAATACATGAACAGTAGGACTCTAGAAAGCACCGAGGATCAGAGGAACCTTGGTATGCATGTGCACCGGTCTCTTAAGGCATCAGGACAGGTAGATATAGTGGTCAAGAAGGCATATTATATATGTCTTTATTAGCCAAGACACAGATTATACTAGAACTGTATAAAGCATTGGTTAAGCCGCACCTAGAGTATTGTATGCAATCCTTGAATCCACATTACAGGAGGACTGTAATTGGACTGAAGAGGGTGTAGAGGAGATTTACTAGGAGATTGCCTATAATGGAAAATTTTAGTCTTGAAGACAATGAACAGACCGGGACTGTTTTCCTTACAGCAAAAGAGATTGAGTGTGAACACGATTGAGATGTATAAAGCTATGAGGGACATAGATACGGTGGACAGAGCAGAGGGCACAGAGGTTTAGAGGAGAAATAAGGAAAAACGTTTTCACCCAAAAGGGTGTGGGAATCTGGAACTCTCTGCCTGTAAGGGGTATGGGGGAGAAACCTTCATAACATTTTAGTAGTACTTAGATGTGCACTTGCAATGCCAAGGCATACAAAACTATGGGCCAAGTATTGGAGTAGGGGATTACAATAGTTAGGTAGTTGTGGCAGCATCTGTGGCGGAGAAAACAGAGTTACCGTTTCGGGTCCGGTGACCCTTCTTCAGAACTGCTGCCAGACCTGCTGAGCTTTTCCAGCAACTTTGTTTTTGTTCCCGATTTACAGCACCCGCAGTTCTTTTGATTTTTAGTTAGGTAGTTGTGTTGGATTGACACAGATACAATGTGCTGTGGATGTCCATGATTCAATGGCTATTGCCCTTCCATTCTTCTTTCTCCACCCTCTCCCACCCCTGCTAACTTGAGATGACCTGTGCCATAGACCTGTGCCCGATTGCTCTTCAGGAAAGTGCAATCACCTTCACTACTTTTCAAAACGGAATACTGATCGGCATACACAAAACACTCAGGGGACACCTGCCCTGCTATTGTGGTTTTCTCAGCCTGGTAGTCACCAATTCCTTCTGCCTGTACGCTTCTAATCTGTGGTCTGACCAGCTCTGCCTTGTAGATGCACAACAGTGACTCCAGTTGCTGCTCAAGTTCAAGCACCTGGAGTTCAAACCTGTGTATCAGACATACTTCCTGCAGCTGTGTTGGTCTGTTCATGACTCTGCACATAATACAGGATGTACACTCCCACTTGCCCTCATTGATTTACCATCCAATAACTGCTAAAAATATTTGTTACACTTAGAATAAATAAAAACTAATGATAGAAGCTAATGAGTGACAACTTTCTTTCACTTGCATTAAATTTAATTTTGTTTGGTTTTTATATAACATAAGATAAGAACTAGGAGCAGGAGTAGGCCATCTGGCCCCTCGAGCCTGCCCCACCATTCAATAAGATCATGGCTGATCTTTTTGAGACTCAGCTCCACTTACCTGCCCACTCACCATAATCGTTAATTCCTTTACTATTCAAAAATTTATCTAGCCTTGCCTCAAAAACATTCATTCTGCGCGGTAGCTTCAACCGCTTCACTGGGCAGGGAATGGTTCAGTTTGGGAACATAGTTGACATGGACAAGTTGGACAGAAGTGTCTGTTCCATGCTGTATGACTCTATGACAGTAGAAAGTTCACAGAAACAGAGGGATCTGAGGGTGCTTATCCGCAGATATCTGAAGGTGGACCACAGGTTGAGAGGATAATTAAGGTGGTATACGGGATCCTTAGGAGACTCAGTCAAGGCATGGTTTATAAGAGCAGTGAGATTATGTTGGAGCTATACAGGACTTTGGATATCCACAGCTAGAGTATTATGTGCTGTTCTGGTCACCACACAATAGTGTAGGAATGATGCAATTGGACTGGAAGGGGTGCAGAGGAGATTCACCAAGATGTTACTCAGGATGGAACATCTTAACTACGAAGGGAGACTGGATGAGGTAGCGTTGTTTTCTTTGGAACAGAGGAATCTTAATAGAGGTCTTTAAGATCATAAGGGACACAGACAGGATGGATAGAAAGTGGCTGTTCCCCTTAGTCAAAGACTCAATTACAAGGGGGTATAATTTTAAGGCGAAAGGCAAGAGGTTTATATGGGGTTTGAGGAAATGTTTTTTGCACCTAGAGGGTGGTAGAGGTCTGGAATGCATTGCCTGGAATACTAGTTGAGGCAAGTAATCTCACACCATTTAAAGAATACTTGGATGAGCACTTAAAGTGTCATAACATTCAAGGCCCCAGGCCTAATGCTGGAAAATTGGATCTGCATAGATTTCAGAGATAGTAAGAACTGCTGATGCTAGTGTCAGAGATAACAGTGTGGAGCTGGAGGAACACAGCAGGCCAGGCAGCATTGGAGGAGCAGGAAAGCTGATGTTTCAGGTTGGGACCCTTCTTCAGAAACGGTGGAGGGGGAAGGGAGCTCTGAAATAAATAGAGAGAGGGGTGGGGCTGGGGAAGGTTGGTGGGATGGTGATAGGCGAGTGCAGGTAGGGTGCAGTGGGGATTGGTCAGTGAGGTGGGAGTAGCAGATAGGTGGGAGAGAAGACGGACAGGTTGTGTCGGGTCAAGGAGGCGGGGATGAGAGGGAGGGTTGGTCATGGGATGAGGCCGCGGGCGGGGGGGGTGGTGGATTTTGAAACTAGTAAAGTCCACATTGAGATCATTGGGTTGGAGGCTCCCGAGGCGGAATATGAGGTGCTGCACCTCCAGTTTCCGGGTGGCGTTGTTGTGACACTGGAGGAGGCCCAGGATAGACATATCATCCAGGGAGTGGGGGGGGAGGAGTTGAACTGGTTCACGACTGGAAGGTGTTGTCGTTTGTCGCGAACAGAGCGCAGGTGTTCTACAAAGTGGTCTCCGAGCCTCTGCTTGGTCTCACCGATGTAGAGGCTACATCGGGAGCAGCAGATGCAGTCGACCACATTAGCGTAAATGCAACAGCTCTTACAATTTGCTTTTTAAAAATATTTCTGGCTAGTTTACTCCTTCCAAAAACACTTCAGATCATTTTCTAAGTAAATAACCCAACTGAACTATTTCTAGCTGGAGAAACTATGTAAAACTCACCACAGAACCAGGAGATAACTATTCAGCAACTCAATACATTCTGCATTCAATTAGATCATATCTGGTGTGCATCTGAACTGCACCAACCAATGCTGCTCTGTAACCCTCAATAGTCTTGCCCAAATTTCTAGACACACAGAACAGCACGTGAGAGGGCTAGGAGATTCAAGCAGTGGCAGAACTGACAGCCCAGAAACCCACGGGAGCAGGTTGAGAGAATTTAAAAATCGCAGCAGTAGAAGCCCAAATTAGAGGGCTATATTTAAACAGAATGACATCAACTAACAGGGCATAATGCCATAAACAAAGAAGATTACATTAAAGTGGGGGATAATTTCATACAGAATCCCAGAATAAAACAGAATAAGATACATGAATCACTTAGATTCAAATAATATC